AATTTTAACCAATCACAGATGATTTCCCTCAGATAATATAAATAGTGGCAGAATGTGTTAGACAGAGGATTTTCACTGAGGAGATCTTGGGTGGAAAAACAAATGACTTTTAACCCAACTATCTTCGTGTGCTTGATCATCTTCTGGTGGAGGGATTAAAGCAGAGCAAAGGAAGGGTCGTGCTGCAGGAGGATGGTTGTGTGTTTTCGAATGCTGCCGTTCTTTTTCCCCCAGATTTCTGCCGACTGCCGCTTTAAGGTAAAAGGAGCAAATTACTAGCAAGCATGCAAAAAGAAAACACCCATCAGCATGTTAAAATGCTCTTAGCATACTGATATTTACCTCAAAGCACCGTCTCGCCTGAGAGAAGCTTCATAGACCTTCTACAGACGCTGTAGACTCTTTCAACACAGAACGAATTCATCTTTCTGTCAAGTTTCACACAACAACTGCTCTATACGTGCCTGACAGTAATATGAATATGTGCAACTCATTAACTTCGCACTACTTTATGCAGACATGTTTAAGTGATTATACAAAACGACAAAAAATAAAAAGTACCAATCTGGTCAAACTCACATTTCACACCAGTAGATTGCACATCAAAGTGTTTCTGTCACTTATTTTCATCCTGTCCCTGATGAATGCTGCTGTACTTACTCATCACTTCCCAGAAAAGATGTCTCTCTCCACGCAACCTCCCTTTTGCGCACCGACTTCTTGAGGCTCAGCTCCTCGAAAGGTTTACGGCTGCTGGGAGCTGTTGTCACGGGAGTCAAGAGTTGGTCGGAGCTGACAGATGTGAGGTCAGTGCTGAGGTCAAATGATGTCCAAGAAGAGTCAGAGGAGATTGAGGGACTGGTGTCCAGTCTCTCCTCTTTGAATTCATAGCCTAGGTCCATGGTGCAACGGTGAAAGTGTAAAGAATGGGATGATAAAGGGCAAGAAAAGGAAGAATGAAGATGACTGATGAGGAGACAAAAATGGCGAAGTAGATGTATGCGTTCAAGGATGTCTTGATAAGGCATAAGCTTGGAGTGGAAGAGAAAAGGAGGCAGAACAACACTTCCAACTCAGACAAATGGATGTGAAGAGAGATGCCTGTGCTCTCCTATTGGCCAAGAGCTTCTCACTCTCTTCTCCTCTGTTTCAGCTAAGTACTGAAGAGAGCGAGGAGACACAAAAGACCAATCAAAGGGAACATTAGACAAAGAGATGGCGATATGGATGTGAAAAGCAGGAAAAGAGAACCTCTCAGGGACTGAAGCAGAAGTGAGACGTGGAGATGGGGAGAGCGGGATGGAAACAGAGGAGTCCGCCGGTGCTGATGGAAGGGGCCGAACACAAACAAAAGAAGAGGCGCTTTCAGGTGAAAGGTGCCGGCAGCAGCACTTATGAGGTGATAGCTCACATCTCATTACATCCCATTTTTTTTCTGTCCGACAATTGAATCATGTGGTAAGTTGATAGAGACAGCGCGGGACGGGAAATCGATTCGAGATGCATGGAGAGCCTTGAACTGGTGGCTTTTGTGGCTACATGATAGCGGCAGGCAAGAGAGTGCCGTCTTGGGTTGCACCGATAAGCGGTTCATTACAAGAAGTCCGACCCAGTCCAAATACAATTAAGGTTCACCACTGAAACCCATTAGAATCCTCACACGGGGAGGCCGGGTTTCCCATAGGTGCACTGTGGGACTGAGCTAAGAGCATAGTTCTGCAGACAAGAAACTGTCTTTAAGTGTAGAAGAGGAGACTTAGCACTCATCCATTTTACATTAAGTTCCTTTTTGTAATTACCTTTTCATGCGCTGCTGTAGGTTAACAGCAACAGAATCACAGCTGATGACTCAGAGTCGTCATATTGGACACGACATATCCTGTCTTGGAGCATCTCCGTCTCCATCCAAAAAGAAATCCATTTTTATTGAGTTTTGGATGTCTTAAGCACTTGGAGGTATAAAATAAACGCTGCCATTCCACTAGCAGCCCGATGGACTCCCAGCTTTACAAGCCAGGAAGAATTCTATCCAGTTTCCACGGATTAATTGGGTCACCAGCAGTTATCGAGACAAATATTTACACATTCCTGCCCCCTCACTGCATGCTGCTTCCAGGTGAGCCTTTTAGAATGAGCATAGGTCTCACAATCTGCCAGTTTTATTTACTTGCTCGAGCGAACTTAAAAACGTCTCAGCCACGAGCAAAGCAGATCAAATGTTCTGCTGTAAGAGTGAACACAAGAGTCTTAGTGCACTCCCAGCATTAAAAGAACTTAAGACCCTGTCGATTATTTTGCTTTTATGATGGCAATATCTCCACAACAATAGGAAAATCCTTAGTGAGGCTAATGTGGCTAACAGGTCAGAGCTCTGTGGAGACTGTAATGTTGAAGGACGTTCACAGATAATGAAAGACTGATTCTAAACTAAGAAACAAGGACTGAGTGGGTTACTGTGTTTTCATGTTGCCTCCAGTGTTTCAGTGCAACCTAAACTTAGCTGCTGTTTACGTCACTTTGCTTCTCTCTTGCTCTCTGTGCTCACATTTACTGCATTTTTACTTAAACCGAATTCCCAATAAAGCTCTTCCTGGCCGTCTCAGCACTGAAACAAGTCTGTTTAGAAATAGGGCTTAACCAGGGGTTATACAGTCATGATAAAATTAATCATCTTTGTAGTGTTTTAAAAATAAAAAAGCATTCTGAGAACAATACGGGACTTTAAATAGTCAACATGCCCATGTACCAAGAGTCTGAAAAGTTAAGCAACTCTGCTAAGGTCTATGCATCAGCAGTTTTTAGGAATCATATATAAAGTGCCAGACATTTAATATAACTATGATCTATAAAATCCAATGATCTAATCTGAATAGCAAAGTGTACTCGAGAGCTTTAGAACAAAAGAACGCATCAAGCTTTGCAGTTTATGAGGTTTCCAACTAGTCTAAAGTAACTCCATGAAATTATATTCAACTTCATCTTCTAAAAGTTAAAACTAACTTTTAGAAGGTGCAATCCAAAGCTCAAAACGACACCAAGCAACACAAGGACGCTCAAATTGTCAACACACAAATACAATTCCTCTAATGCGGAGGTTTATTCTTTCACTGTCTGTGGGACTATTTCATTTGATTTTTATCAGTCACTTATTGAAAATCTCTCCAGCACTCTCGTTTATTTGCTGGTTTAATGGACTGTCTGTGAAGGACGAAAACGGCCTATATGGTATTATTAAAATTTGCTCCAGGATAATTAGAGTCCAGCAAAGAGAGTTGTGCTCCCTTTGGGAGAAACAAGCAGCCCAGGAGGCAAAATGAATTATAAGCCAATATGACCATGTTTTTCCTCCAGGTCGGGGTCATAATGTGTCCCTCAGGAGAACACAGTGCTGCTCCTGGTCCTTCATTTCCTGCCATCAGGGAGTTAACGCTGACAGCAGTCATTTGAAATTACTGTTGTATGCTTTTGAAGCAGTCAGTTGATCAATTATATGAACTTTAACATGCCACTAACTTGCCTGTAAGTTTTGAAGATGTGCATATTGACTGGGTAAGATGCAAATTAATTGCCCTTCTTGGAATCAATAAAGCTGAGAGACATTAACATGATCGCCTCTACAACTACATGATCAACGCTTTTCATTTAACGTGCACATAAATGTAAACACGTCAACTATCTGGGAGTTGAGTACTGAAAGAAGTTAATGCATTTTCAAACTTTGTTGAACATTTATTTTTGGGGGATAATTTTTCCTTAAAAAAAAAGATTCCTGACAACATAATGTAATTTTGAAATCTACTCCCTTGGCTCTGAAGCTGCTACAAGACGATCTGATTGGCTGCACATCACGAGTAGTAGCCTATCAATAATGAGAGACAAATGTTGAGAGTTTCTTTTTTTATCAAACGTACGTAATTAAACAAAAGAATTTCAACAAAGTTTGGTGTCACAACTTTTGTCACTCTACATTTTGACACCAAGATTTTATTTGTTAATGCACTTATATATGTCTACCTGCATCTCCTTGTTTACTAATGATTGGTATTGGTCCTAAACAAAACACAACACATCTGTCGACCCCTTGCTGCAACAGTTACACTCACAAATAGAATTCTTGCGCTTCTTAGTCATGAATTTGTCAAGCACTCTTGTTCAAACACTTGAGCGTACTTTACATGAACTTGCGTCATCCAACCATGTCTGCAAGCAAACATGTTTTACTCGTCCGTTATTGGCAGGCTGAGAAACCTCTCATTTCTGCTGCTGCTGCTGGGAGGACCTGTAGTTTGTTAACTCTGGTGACCTTGTTAAATATCGAGCATAATATTTCTGCCCACTTTATTTTTCTAACTCTCTTAACACAGTTGAGTTTCAGGACCAGTTCCAAAAGCACCTGATTTGGAACTAGATCAAAAACACATCAACCTCCTCTGAGAGACCAACACGCTCGACGAGACTCATCCATATTCAGCAGAGAGGGGCGCATTGATTATATCAAGATTTCAACTGCTCACCAAAGGAGCATCACTCATCAGTAACAGATATCTCCTGCCACTCCGGCTTTTATTCTGGCACTTATTTTATCACCTTTGATTAAATGCTGTCAGTAGTGTCAAATTTCATATAAATGAGCAGCACTAAATTCACTATGGATGACTTTTAAGTAGCTGAAAGAGGCGTGTTGACAAAGAAAGCAGATTTAAAATGCCAAGCTGTGGTAACAAGACTTTCAGGGCCTACGTTTTAATCAAGTAGTCTGACACGCAAGGTCAAGGTAGCTGATAAAATTCTCTTGTCCGTGTTTAACTTTTAATGGAGTGCTCAATTCAAATCCATTTGCACGCTCCTGGCTAATTCATCTTATAGAGTGAACGGCACAAAGGAAGGGTACAGCAAAGGAAGCGAGATAGTAAATCACATTTAAGGAACCGCATATACAAAAGTGGCTGCGGCAGACACGGTCACGGTGCCTTATGTGTATGGAAAAAAAGCTGACAAGCTTTAGAAAAGTCTTTATTTAAACTATGAACAGGGATAAAAAGGAAATAGTCAGGAAACAAGCTAAGCAAAACAAGGATACAAGAGTGAAAATAAAGTTTGAGGTATCAGAACGATCCAGTGGTGTGCAGAGAAAAATAAATAACATGCCTACGGACAGATGTTTTGTATGTATTTACAATATTTCACAGAGTCATGAGTGACCAGATTGATTCTGAAAAGTACACAACTGCTAGCTTTTACTCAAATAATATCTCTAATAAAAATGCAAATGGAATCTATTGTTGTGGTGTAAATCAAAGAAATGTATGCTAAATTTGTTCTGACACATTTAAGCGATTGTCTGATCTTTCTGGTACTCAATGAACCAAACTGGTAGAAAACAAAATTGCAAACAAAAACATCCTCAGTTCTTTAACGGCTGATTACCTTCTGTGTTTTTTTTTTTTAAGGAGACAATGCTGGGATACGCTGCACACCATTGCAGCTTATCCTTCCTGCTACAAGGCGGGAGAAACGGAACAAATCAAAAGCTGACAGACATGCACAGGACAACACTGAAAGCAGAACAGAGCGAGAAATAACAAAAATATCCCACCGGAGGGTTTAATTCTAGAGAGAAAGAACATTCCTTAAATCAAAGTTCTTCGAGAGTCAGTAAATTTCTCAGCAAAAAGCGGCGAAACATCTCCAGGATAGGAAGCAAGTCCTACTGAAGCTTTAGAGCAATCCAGAAGATCACTGCAGAGGAAGCACTTAGAAGAAGTCACTACTTAGAGGGGGCTATGCTTCCAAGCAGGTGAACCTGCATTAATGCCCTCAAGAGCATCCAAAATTAGTTTATTGGGCAGGCAGGGGAGGCCTGTGTCATCAGAGCGCACAATAATCCAAAACTGCAGCTCTGAAGAGTCAGAGCAGGAGAAAATGGGGCTTTGTTTTCAGTGCTTCACTATTTGGGCCGGGTGAACCTTCCAGTCTTAACCTGGTCGAAAAAAAAGTGCATGCCAGGTGATTTGAAAGAAGGAACAATGAAGGTTAGTCAACACACAGCAGTCGACATGCTTTGGAGCAGCACACGGAAGCAAAGCAGCGCAGAGCGGCCTCGCATGCAGGACGGCGCCACAGACAGAGCATGGGGTGAGGAGTTAGTGGGATGAAGATTGAAGCGACTGGTTCCACAAGGCGACAGCGAGAAACAGAAGCGAAGGTGTTCCAGGGTAAGACAACAGAGCTGCACTCCGGAGAAAGCTGCTTTTTTTATTCCACTGAACACGAGTCCAGACAGGTTGGTCTGGACAAGCTGAAAGGGAGGGGAAGGAGGTCAGAGAAGAAACAAGGGACAGGGAAGGAAACACAGCGGCCAGCGTCTCCTTCAGTAAACTGGCCTCGGTTGTTTCATGCTGTAGTGGGCCTCTGATGCCGACACATACGCAGACTCTGGAAAAAAGTCCTCGTGGTACTCGGCCAGAAACCTAAGAGGGGGGGGAGGGAGGGAAAAGTGGAAGTACAAGAAAGGGAAATGTGAGATACTCAGACTCCGACAGTGTTCGGGAGTCTGTTCACATGAAATTTTCAACATAGGCTGCCTGTCAGATGACGACCGGCGCGGACACGATAAGCTTACATGAAGCAAAAAAGCAATAACAGGGAAAGCATCTCGAGTGTCACGTCCCAGTTCACGTCAACTTCTGGTTTTCCTCGATATCCCTGGCTCATTCCACATAAATCCCAGACCCCTTGCCCTCAGCCCGGGATATATATTTCAGAGACAAAGCCCCCTCATCCATCCCTATACCACCAGCAGACAACCAATCGCTACGGCAGAAAAACCCAGAACACGAGAATGACCGACCAACAGTCGGAGAGGGAAAGAGTGTAAAATCCCCCCCTCCTCCCATCTAATCAGTAGCGGGGAAAACTAATCCGGAATCTTCTTAGTATCCGCTACTCGGCCAAATCCTCTAAATCTTGCCATCTCATCTTAGCTCCACCGGCCTTCCTAATCTCAATGCAAACAAATTATCCTCATCAGAGGAAAACTTAAGAACGCTTTGACAACGAATAATAAACAAGACAACCTAATGGGACAATGAAGGGAAACAAGAGTGAATAAAAGAGGAGCAAGAGTGACTTCAATGAAGTTTATTAAAGTCTAATTTTTCATTAGAAACAGTTGGTTCAGAGACAACCACTAAAAAGCAACAAATGTGTTTCTGTACGATATTTGTGAATCAAGAAATATATATTTGCTCCCCTTGGTGCCAGAAATGCAGCCTTGTACTAATCTTTATTGCTGTTAGATCAGTAATAACACAAGGCAAGCCGCTTTAGGCGTACACATTGTAAATCAGCATAACGTGTGCGTACACATGTGCACACACCCACACTTAATCATAATCATTCTTGCGGAGAAAGGGAGAGTGAGAGATCAACTGTGGCCAAATCCCAGAATGCACTGCACTTCAGTCTCTGCGACATCAATCAGTTTTTGCCCGCTCGGCGCAATCTGCCACGAGGCTGATTTCAGAGTAAAAAAAAAAGAAAAAAAAAGTCTCTCCCAAAAGACACCAGTGTTTTTAGTTTGTGGCCGGTGTCCAGGCGAGTCTCCAACCCGGTGAACATTAATTAGATACTGAGAAAACATGGCAGCGTTGGGGGGAGTTTTTTTTGTATTGAATGCGATCAATCCTGTCTGAACAACTTATTGTTCACGGCAGAGAAGATTGAAACTGCAGAAGTAATTTACTTTTAAGCACTTCAGTCTTTGCAACCAAGTTATTGTCTGTGCCATTTTGTAGAATGATGTCCTATGAAAAGACACGCCGCCGTGATTTGCGGTCCAGTTCCGCTGAAGTGAATTAAAAGGCCTTCTGCCCGTGTTTACCTTACTACTGATGATGCTGCACGAGAGGCTTTGCCAAGAGAAACCGCTAATGCTTGGGGCATTTAATTTACAGTGTCGCGATCACGTGCTGACAGCGTTGTCAGACGAAACAGAAACCCGGTGAAGGCAAAGCGTCGTATTCTTAGCTGACACGACTCCCAGCACTTTCTATTTTCAGAGGACCACCTCGTGTCTTCTGTGGCACCGACTACTGAGCGCCGCTTTATGTATTTATAAACAATTTTTCGGTTGGAATGGAGGTAATGTTGGCTCTCGGGCGCCGGTTTGTTCCCGTGCCCGCTCCGTGGTGAGTTCAGCTGTTGCTCCACAGCACTGCTTGCTGGCAGAAGGCGGTACTGTGAACGTTTGATTAGAGAATGAGAGGACCTAAATCCCTCAGGTTTGGGACCGGCTGAACTGAAGATCGCTAGGGAGGATTTAAAGATTAGACTCCCGCGCTTGTGTAACGCCCACTCATCTCCCTCCCTCTAACACATGCTCTTTCTCACTCCATCTCTCCCTCCATGCTCTCATTTACTTACTCCTCCTTTCCTTTTTGTTTTGGTGTTTCTGGGTTATTTTCAAATACTTTCCTGACAATCCCCTTTTTTTTTTTAGCCATTTTATGACATCTATTGACATCCAGTAGCTTCCAGGCTCTTCTCTCCTCTCTTCTCGTAAAATTAAAACTTCCTGCACATCAACATCGGCAGTGACCATCAGGTTTTCATGCTTAGCTGATCAGACTTTGGTTAATGAACCGCGCTGGTTATTAGCGAGGTGCATCTTAAGCCAAAGTACTTCCTATCCCATGTCCTGATAATTCAATGCAGCACTGCATCTTTTTAATGATTTACTTTATGTTATTATACGTTATTTCCACACAGTTTCTACCCACCTGACGGGAAAAAAATCCATTTTTAAAGCAGTGGGTGAGATTTCAATTTTATGCCTGAATGTCTTAGTGAGGAAACTAAAGGCCTTCAGGCTTGAGTGATCAAAGATTGGTTCTCTCCCATCTGCACACCACGAAATCAGTACTTTGTCTCATTAACCTCTTAATTATATTGCTTCTGCTTTACCTCAAGGACCGATTCCTTTGCATGAAAGTAAAATAAAGACCGATTTCATTTGAAAACAATCATCAGTTACCTGAGAAAGAGCTCGAGATGTTTGATGAGGGCTCGGAGGTTCCTCTCAGGGATTTGCATTTTCCCCAGGATCTCAGGAAGCTTCACTAGAAGAAAAGCGAGATCAGAGAGTGTGACAGTGGGGCAAGACTACCAGGGGGTTACTGACAGAAATCAGGCTGTAATGAGAAACTAACCAAAAAGCCGTAAGAGGTGCTGTGATCCGTACAGGTAGGAGGGCGGTGGAGGCTGGTCGGTCAGAGGATAGTTATCAGGAGTCAGCTTCCAGCTCAAGACCTGCTTAACAGAGGGAAGGAAACGGCTTTTAGAAGAAACCTAAAGTCGATTTCCACTGCCCTATGAGTAAGAAACCACCTGGGTTTACTGAAGTTGTTATAAAAATGCCACACACAAGAGACTGAGCTTAAAGAATCAAGGACAAATGCTCCTTTTCCCAACTAACAAGACAACAATGCTTTAGCAAAACATAAAATCACAATGAGACGATGAAAACCAGGACAAACTGCATCACACACTCTGGGTATTGGCCAGACAAACTCAATTACTACAAGCTTAAATCATCTCCCTACAAACAGGGAGGCCATTTATGTAACTATCCTAGTGTCCTTGAGCAAGACATCGTTTCCCCTCGAGGCAACAGTATTCTCATCACACACACTTTCATCACCTCATTAAGCTCGTTGTTTCTGCGGCTCTCCAGGCCATAGAAGGGCCCAGTCCGCTCTTTGCTTGGCGTCAAGGGCAACGGGGAAGAGGAGCCGCTGTGGACTGGGGTTTCTTTGGGTAAAAAACAAAAAAAACAGATGGATGAACTTGAACTTTAACTTTTTCTTGTGATTATTTTCATATTTGTATTTATTTGCTTAACCTTTTATTGCTTGCTAACAAGACAACACAAAATCAAGAATTAGCACAAAAAATAATATAAGTTAGACGCTGTAAACTTCTTAGGAAAGAACAGTTCTTTAGCACTTCAGAGAGGTGAAGCTTGACATAGGTAAAAAATAGGACAACACCACCATCTAGTGGGCAAAATTGGTTACTACAAATACAAACAGTTTTCATTAATCTGAAATTTAAAATTAAAAAATTAAAAAGCTTAACTAAGGTGGTCATGTATCCTTATCAAACACAAGTATTACTGATAATATGAACCATTGCTGTAATTAGCTACTGCAGAAAAAGTATATTTGTCTAACTTAATTAAATAAGACTGATGTAACGCTATGTTAGCAGTCCAGATTTACAAGCCAAGAAAAGTTGCTAAAACTACAAAGTCAGACTGAATGTTGCAGTTAAATCAAGTAAATATTTTAACTGAGTCTCAGCTTACTTCTGTCAAGGTTTAGGAAGAACTTGGGCTGCGCTGATGTGTCGATCAAGCGGCGTTTTAACTGCGGAGACGCCGTGGCACTGCCTCCACCTGGATCATCATGCATGATTCATTTAGAAGTCAAATCAGATCACAAAAGAGTAAAATACCAATAAGACAACATAAAGTATTCTCAAATAAACATTACCTCCACTGCTTCCTTCAGCTGGACGGTCGCCTCCAGATGTGTTTCTGGTGGAGCGCCTGAGTGACTGCGACTGGTACGAGATACAGTCCATATCAGGGTGGCGCCGACGCTTTGGGGTGGGTGCTGGAGCGGTGGGTGTGGTGGCGGAGATGTCACTAAGTGCCGGTTGGCTGTCTGTGGACTGAGGAGTAGGAGGGTTGTGCCCCAGTGGGCTTGGACTGCGCTCTCGCTGGGTGCTTTAAAAACACAGAGAGAAAGAATAAGGATTATAGTTGAATCGAAGAGCAAAGCAGTGGGTTTTGATACAGCTCGTACATGATTTATCAGAGCACACTTACTTGCTGGAGCAGGGGGAACCTTCATTCATAGCCAGAAAGAGCCTGGAGGAGCTGACCTTTTTAAACTGCGCTTGTTCACAGGGGTAGAGGAGGATCATGGGTAAGGTGAAGTCGAAAGTGATCCTCAGGCCATCAACCATCTCCTTACACAGCTCCTCACTTAAAACAAAGGAAAATTGAGTGTTATAATAAAAGTTCATATAACATGAAACAGTAAACCATAAAAACTGAAATGGGAAGATGACACATTTTTGTCAAACATCTTTGATGATCTGCTTCCAATGCCATATTTGTTCTTCAGTTAAAAATAGATAAGGACAAACCTCTTCTCTGGAGGAATTGGCTGTGGACTGCTGTTCTGAGTGGGGTTCTGCTGACGTCTGTACCTCTCGTTGGCCATGAATGCTTTGTTGATGGCAAAGTGCTTGACGTAGGACTCCAGGATGTGCACGACGTTTGTTTGACAGGGAACCATCACAAGCTGGGAGAGAAAAACAAGTTAGTTACTGACAAATTTCAGGTCAATTCAATTCCAATTAAAATATTAGCAGCAGGAAAGCCAAACATATAAACCTTTTCCAAATGTGTAATTCAGTCTTAAAGCCAATTTATAAGCCATATGCACAAACAAAATAATAAACAAGAAAAGCAAATCACTGATCAACTTTAGACAATTCAAACACCATGTATATAACTTGCTTCATATTTACTACAAGTACCTTCTTCCTCTTGTTGATGTAGAAGCAGTCATCTTCCAGTTTCTTCTTTAGAATGTCAGGGATGCTGATGTCAACATGGACAATCTTCTCCTCACTTTCCCTCTTAACATTCATGTCTGGCTCAACCCTCTGAAACAAACAAGACACAAACCATCACAGGTACTTTTTCTGGAGGCATAAATCCAAGTCACAAAACTGCTGCTTGACTCAACCGTTCTTGAGTCTTTCTAACTGTTTGAAAAAGGTGAAATGATGTTTAACTTCAAGGCCACAGTACTATGAGTTTACTGTAAGTGTGCATTACACGAGAAAGGTCATGAAGGTCACTGCCGGTTTCCTAAATGACAACATCAACTAAAAGCCAACAAACATAAATACTGGTCCTTACATGCCCTTGACACAAAACTGATCCATTTACCATTTTGTTGATGTCCTCAGAGAAGGTGCTTTCCCCACTGTTTGAAGATTCAGGGTCAGAATCGTCCCCTTCACTGCTCTCCGAAGTGGAAATCAAACCTGGAGACAGAAACACAGTTAACACGACTGCTCGGGGAGGCTGAGAGCAGAGGACAAAGATACAGAGAGATTTCTCACAAGCGTCATCACTGTCGTCCTCCTTAGGGAGAGTCTTCAGAGAAGATTTAGTGCCAGACTGACGACGACGCCTCTTCACCCATCCCTTTCTCTTCCTACCATCAAGAAAGGAAAAAAGAACAGGGCACACATGAACTGGATCAGTCTTGTCAATAGTTAGAACAAAAGAAAGACGGAAAGGTCAAATACAAAACTTACAAGCAATGACATACAGTGTACTGGACTTGTAGTTTCAGTTACAGGCTTCATGAATGTTTATTGACAATCGGAAGTTGCTGATCATCAAGTAATAAAGCCAATGAAAAGATTCTGAGCATAACCTCAGGGTGGAGGAGGCAAGTGATCAAACAGTATTACGTTGAATGCCGATGATCACCTCCATGGTTCAAAACTGATCATAATGTCAACTTACATGCGACCGAGAGCTTTGCGAGCCAGTTTACGTTGCAATTTACGGTTTTCCTCAGTGTCCCTTAGGACATGATCCTCAGCAGCCCAACGATCCCAGCTACACAAAGACAAAGACAATAAAAACACGACTTAACGACAGTGTTTTGGAGCAACTTCATTACACAAATTAATGAACGAGACATTTGCAACTTACAACTCTGCATGAAGCATGATACAGTTACACTGGTAGACGATAGTAACTGTGTGTTTATCTGCAGCTGATCATAGCAAACTCGTGTTTTACCTTCTGTTCCAACCATTGAAGTGAATCAGGTACTTTGGGATTCGTCTTCCATGTTCATCTGTACCTATCAAGACATCAAGGACCTGTAATACGAACAAACGAGAGTAAGTTGTCTTGTGAAAAATCTACTCACACCTTAGCTGAATTGAGTACTGCAAGAAGCACTTTTCAGACATGGGATTCATGACATTGTTCGCCTCATCAGTCAGTTATTTGGTGCTGAAATGTGGAAAAAGCCTTCTCTAAATCACTTAACTTGTGTGCTCGTGCTCATTCAGACATGAAGCTAACGCCTTAAGTGTTGGTAAATTACAGAAAGGAGTGCATGTCTGAAAAGTGTGAGTCAAATCTGACATGTGCAACATTTAAATTGGCTCGACTGGAAACGAAACGTCAATTCATTAGCAGTGACTGTCAAGCTAATGAAGCATCATGCTAACTACACAACACGTGATATATAGCTCATGTAAACAATACTTTACAGAACATTAACTATAGTCCTGTTGAACGCTTCAGCTACAAAATTAGAATAATGCTTACAGATTTGTTTGGAAGAAATATTTAGGATCATTGAAGTGGCTGCATTTGGATGCAAATTAATGCAGTATTGGACTTATGGCAGTAAATTCGTATTTCACACCGTAGTCATGCTACCAAAGTACAATAGCTGAGCATCTAGCACCACTGCAAACTATGCACAGTGATGCTAACGGCTAGCTAGCCCAGGTTAGCAAAAAAGCCAATAGCTCTCGGTTAGCTAGCTAGCTAGTTTGTGAAAACAACAAAGCACAGAATAAAACGACACCCACGTTCAGGTGGAGCATTTTTGTCTGCTTGAAACTGTAAAACATTATTTTCTTCGCAAGAAAATCACGACACTAAAGCAACCAGACACTAAGTTTGCTCCAGTTAGCGTTGTCAGAGTTAGCATGGCTGATTTATTGGTGCGTGTGTTTATTAGAGTGCACATTAAATTGCTTTGGGTGGTAGCTGCACAGCTACAACTCACATATTGTGCTATAAGTGGCTTCTAAAGGTTATTTAAATGACGGTATGGCATGCATTAGCAGTTGCCTTGGCTGTAGTTCATTTATCAAGCAGCCTCCTTCGAAATAAACAAGCTGCAAACGTTACAAATACCAAACTTGTGTCAAGCGTTTCAACAATGTCCTGCAGGAACAAATGCGTAATCAGACGCACCCGGAAACCATGCGACACATTCACGGACTAGTTTACTCTGCAGCTGACGTTATTGTGTGGCCTAAATCGACCTCCCAGTCATTCATAGTCCCACACCTCACAGAAACAACCCCGCGTTTCCACTATAAATTACTCGTTTGTGCAAAGTCAAACAACCGAAAGGCGACATCAGCTGGCATAAACCGTTACCTTAGCGTCATACAACACTTTAGCCTTGGTGGGGTCGGGTTCAAAGCACAGGACTCGTTCTCCTTTGTGAAATTGATATTTAATTCCCCGCGAATTCATTTGTTCATGGCGACGTGTGGGAGAGGAGGCATCGATCCCAACCTTATACACTCCTTAACCCTTTCCTTGCCAAAGCCTTTGCTGTGAGGGGCTTCCCACCAAAAAAAAACACACACCATGGAAAGATGGCGCTGTTGTGGGATCCGTGCAGCTCTCCTGTGATGCCTTCAAATGCTCCTCGTACGTCCACAATGCGAGGAGTGTGTGCACAGTCCAAGCTGCGCATACGGTGGATTAATCGGTATGATAGAAATGTGGTTTATTACGAAATCAAACATGAAACCGAGTGTCGAACACGTTATTTTTAAATTAGGGAATCACACAGGTGCAAAAAATCTACTTCAGTTTTTCACATGACAGTGAAGGCAGCATGAAAAGCGCAACATAATAAATTGAAATGATCTTTCACGGACACCGTACTAATTGTGCAATTTTCAAAGATGGCCAACAGATGTCAGTATATACGCGCAAATAGTCTATATTCCTGAACACTAATGTAAACTGGAGTAAACTTGTGTGGATTACATGAATGAGCAGAAATATATGCCACTTGAAGCTGAATTTGAAACATGAAAACTGATCACAGAGAGTTAAATTTTCAGTGAGGATCAAAAACAGTTTCCGAGCAACGGAATTCAGTTTCAAGTTTATTGGAAATAGGTCTCAGTCTAAAAAATTTAAATTCAAATCATCCATACATCCATTATCTACACACTGCTTAATCCTCACTAGGGTCACAGGGGGCTGGAGCCTAACCTAGCTGATTTAGAATTACCAATTAACCTCAACATGTTTCTGGACCTTGTGGGAGGAAGCCGGAGAACCTGGAGGGAACCCACGCTGCACGGGGAGAACATGCAAACTCCATGCAGAAAGATCCCAGTGTCCTCACCAGGACACGAACCGGTGACCTTCTAGGTGCGAGGAAACAGTGCAAACCACAGAGCCACTTTGCAGCCCTAAATTCAAATTATGAGATCCAAATTCAAAAGTTTATTCCATTTATTGAAGTCAAGAATGTCAACAGATTGTTTCCCTTACATATCTATAAATAAAATAGATTTTTATATGTATCGGATTTAAATCATTCTATTTTTACCACCATCTTTATGAAAATAAACTCATAAGGATCCTGTTTCACCAGCGACAAACACCCCCTGTGTTCATTTAGGAATCTATGATTTTCAATATTATTTATAACTCGTGGGAAATATATCGCCCTCATTGCAAACAGCCCTGAAGCACAACTCTGCTGATCATATCAAGATTAAACCACCATATATCTGCCAATTACGTAAGCATCATACACCCTATACGTGCAAAACATGTTGTTCTGGTGTTTCGCAAAAGACTCCTTTTTCCTTGAGGCAAAACACAATAAAAGAAAATTCACCATGTCTCAATAATCTAATCTTCTTGTATTGGAACAATGTGGTGTCCTCGTAAGTATGCACTACAGTATGGGGATGTTTACATGTGCCGTCAGGAACACGTGAATTCCTCAGCTGGACATCGCTCCGGGGTACAAACTGTGTGCGAATGTGTGCGTATACAATTGCAGACCTGCTCGATTGTTTCTCCAATCTCAGAGTTTTATCAGTTAAACAGACCTGAATCATTTGTAGGAGTAATAGATCTGGACAAATATTTCTCTTTCCATCATAAATGGGTTAACGTTAATTGTACCGAGCAGATAAAAATAGACCTTGTGTCACTCACTTGTTTCACATTTCACATGAGGGCCTTCGAGTAATTTGATTTCTTTTGTTCTTGACCTTCTAACCTTTTCATTTTTATCTGTATAACAACCCTGCACAATGAAATGTACACTTATCCCCAGCGTAGGAAGCCATTTCTCTGCAGCTGTGGCTCAATATAGTCACTTTTTTTTAAGCTTAAAATGGTTTCAGGCAGCACTGCTCTACTATTGTATACCAAATATGGACAGTGTCTATATAACACCGAACATGACTGGCTGAAGTGTAGCCCTGCTGATTTACTCTCCTTCCCTTTGACCCTGAACGTGTCTGATATATTTTGACAGTCATGTCAAATGACTTTCACATTAAATGTTTTCCACGGTTACTCAACGGGTAACCTGAGTGAAGAGCTTGAAGGCAGCAAAATGAAAAGGATGCTGCGGTATGGGAACATTTAGGCACAATATCTTCTCAATGATGCATTGATGCATATACGACTGTTGTTTTTGGCTTCCTCCCCAACTGAAACAATATGGACACAGTTCGGTGCAATAATGCCTCAAGTGTTGGCTTTATTTCTTATACAATCTAATGCAAAACACCGTATCCTCTAACAATTGCAGCTTCTGTGTTTTCACTCTCGTCCCCCCCTCGGACTGTTTTTAGAAGGGTCAGATCTATCTCAGCTGTTATCAGTGTCGTGTCATGCTGTGTTGTGTGTATGTGTGTGAGTGTGTCATGCGGCGCAGCTTCATAAGCTCCTTTATCAGCCGGCCCGGCACCCTCTCTCCAGACTCCCGCTGTCTCTTTTCATTTTTCCCATACTTTCACACACTGGGCCACACATGCTCCTGCTCTTTCTCTCTCTCTCGCTCTTTGTCTCGGGGTTTCTCACACACTCCCTCCTTATCCTCTTTCTCTCATACGCACACACAGGCATCCTAATATCCTAAAATTACTGAACTCCTCTATGAGCATCTGTGTAAACAAATGTCTGGCTTCGTGCACAGGTGTGTAAAGAAAAGCACGGGTGATTAATCCTATGGCTCACTTATTGTTTGGCTAATAATAGCACACAGCAGGCCTCACTGATAGGCCTATTATTCCCAGACAGCGAGGTGGATTAATGGGAGACGAGGATTAATACTCCTATTTTCATCCCGAGCTAAATCATGTCTGTCTCTGCGCATGACCTTCTGCCAGTCTGATTATTGGCTCTGTCCTTGCCTAATTATCCTTATGAAATGTGCTCACTAATTATAGAAAGTCATCTTCATTGCAGAAGCTGCAGAAATCAAAGCGGTGGAAGTATTCTGGAGTGAAGGAGTTTAAATTGTTGCTTTTGTGAGTGGACTTTGGCTGGAGAAGTCAGGGATCAAACACTGATGATCTCACTCGAGATGAATCCTGCAAACTCAGCCAAAGTGTTCAAAACAAACTTTAATTTTTGGCCATTAAGCAAAAAATAAAGTGTGCAGGCACTCATCTCAAGTTTTTTTTTTTTTCAACCCCACCCCCTAAACACACACTCACACTTGCACGCTCTCACACTGTCTTCTGGCTCCACACCAGTATGGGAATGATCAGCGCGCAGAGGAACACAAGAGAGCAAAGGACGACTTGCACCTTCTCCACTTTACGCAGCCAAATGCAGCACTCTCCGAGCCCTTCATCGCCTTGTGCTTGGAGTTTCCCTTTAATGGGGCGACGTTGAACTCTTACAATTGTTGGGCAGCTTTTCAGAGAGACGTTTGGAGCAGCGCTGATGTGAAAAATAAGGAGACATGTCAGCCGCTCAAGGACTCCTCAACAGCGTCTTCTCGTGCTCATCTCCTGCCTCCAAAGCCATAACCAAACGGAGGCTACGCCAAACTCGCAGCTTGGACCCTGCTATCATAAGACATTGTGGCACCGGGACCGATGGAGTGAGCGGCGCAGGGTTTTCCGCAGCAGCGGCGGTGGACGCAGGTGCGTCTCCGGAGCGCTTGGCTGTGAAACCGGCTTTACGCACGAAGATTCCGACACTAAAGGAACCCATAACTCCCTCTATCTCTTCTCCTTCCATTCCTTTGGATGTTTCTCCATCCTCCAACTTCCACTTTGACTATGACATCGTGAAGCGTGCCAAAAGGAATACCGCCGGGGATTTACCGTTTATGGTGAGGGGAGCCAGCGCAGCGTCGTCCGGGAGCACCGGCACGCTCTTCTCTCCACGGAGATGGCTCCAGAGGAAAGTGCAACCGTCCAGCTCTCACGCTTACGTTGTGTGGAAATCAGAGGTAAACTTTTTAACGCAGTACAACACGTTTTTGTCCTCTGTGGTTGCACTAAAATCAGATTATTGGCACTTTGTTTTGCAGCAAATGAGCAAAATCGTGCGTTTTTTCAGCCCATTCTACTCATTTATGATGCTGCATGTCTGTATAAAAAACACATCTTCTTATGATTTGAACAACACTCTTGCAAGTGTATCACACTGCTCTTGGAACAATCAGAAAATACAACAAATCAGCTGACTTTAACATGTTTATTTCTGCAAGAAGCAGGGCAAATCCACTGAGTGCCAAAATACACATCAGCTGACAGTTTCGTCTCAGTTCAGCCAAAAATAACAAGCACACTTTTGGTTCTTGGACCCAAAAAAATCACCAGTGCATCTAAAATTTGACTGTATTGAGTCATGACCTGAGGTGTGGAGATGCAGAAGATTTATGGGTTTCGAAGAGGGGAGCGTTGACCCGTCTGCACCTGGAAGCAGCACAGTTTTCAAACCAGTGAGTCCATCACAGCCTGCAGTTTTGAGTCTGACCCAAGGGCACATGGGTAACTAACTGGAGGAGGGGGGGAAGGGGTAGCAGGCAACTTTCACCTCCTTCACCTGGATTTTTCTTTTTTTCAGTCCTTGTGAGAGTCACACCTTGTACAAAAGCATTTCTGGGAAAGCAAAAGAAAATCCTATGGAGCTTTTAAGGATTAAATAATTCCAACAAAAGGTGCAATGAAGTGCAGACGGTTCTTCCCTCCTACTGTTGTCATCATTGGGCTAGTTGGGCTTTTGTCTTCTTATAGACTTCAAACTGAGTGTGAACAAGGGGCAGGCAGCGAATGAAATCCTTACCAAAACATACTTGGGAGACTTATTTAAAGTGAGGGGGGGGGTGGCCCCGCTTTATAGGCTGCATAGTTGGCACAAGTCCACATGCACTGGTGGAAAGGTATGATAATTTTCCAGCTTCTTTTGAGGACTTAGTCTCTTTTTCTCTGCTGATTTTTGCTTGTATTATGAGCGTAAGTGTGTGTGTGTACGTGCAGCAGCGTGTGATGATGTGAGGGTCTTAAGGACACATGGCCGGGGACTCGGTTCTCACGACTGGGAGCGGTCACAGGGTCAAAACCACGCGGCCCTCAAACAGCTCTCCCATCATTTCCTATTACAAGGAACAGCTCCAGCTTTGCTTTTTTTGTTGTTTTTGCAGCGTGCCTCTCTTTCTCACACACACACTTGCGTCCACACTCTCTTTTCCTTCCTCTCCTTCTCTCTGAGATGTCTAGAAGCTCAGCAGAGTTTCCCACCGTTGTAACTTTATTTTCCATGCCGTTTCCCCCCCCCGATATGGCCCACCGAAGCTAGCATGAGGCCATCAGTATGGAGTCATTAGCACAATCTGGACCATGAAGTTATTGCACCTCCGAGTGTTTGTAAAAATACCGAGCCAGAAAGTGTCTGCTGGGATGTGTCATACATTGTTGGGTGTGAAATAAAATCCTGAAATTAAGTGCAAACAAAGACTTTATGTTGGAAATAAACACAGATTTTACCTCGATTTAGATGCAAGGCAGGGGTTTTGTGAGAAATTTGACATGCAAGAAAAGTTGAAATTGACTCAATATTTTAAGTTTGTGTGGTTTAAGGAAAAGAACATCACTTCCTGCAGCGAGGAACAAGAGATGCTGTGATGGAGGCCGGCTCTGTCTGCTGCAATAATAGATCTGAAGAGTCTATTCATCAGCTGAACTTTTGCTAAAATCCAAGGGGTCACACCTCCATCATGTCCTCTTGCAGTTTTTTCTTTATATTTTTAAAAAAGTGGACACTTGATCATTTCTACTCAGCAAAGGACTCTAAAACACTCTTATGAACTTCAAAATGATATTCCCTCTCCCATATAAATGCATTACTTTTCTATGCAAAGTAATCCTGACTTGCTGTCTCTGAAGTGGGTAAAGTTCCAAAACACTGCATCCTACATGTCCCCTAATGCAGCTACATCGTGCCTTTCCTGCCTGGCAAGCCCGTACATCTTCTAAAGCCCTCATTTCCACTTTGTAACACAGCCTCACTCTTAAAAATTTGATAACCCTGACATCATCGAGGTTATTTTTGCCAGACTTGATGAAGCTGAAGTGTATTCACAGGATGAGTAGAACTTGATATTGAAACATACACTTGCTCTGCTCAAGCACCTGTTTTTACAAAGTCCTTTGCGTATTTTTAGACCTAATGTATACTTCATGTGCTATTTCAGGTCTGCCGATGTGTCTGCAGACATTACTGATGTTCATACAGTGCTTTTTATACGCTGGAATACACAATATGAGCAAAATAAGCAGTTAATTTCAAGGCTGAGCATTTCCACCTTGAAACTGCAGCACACCAATGATTCAATTTCAGACGTTCAGGTTTTGATGTGTCACAGATGAAAGGAATCGATCCAGTAAACCAACAGGTTGGGGCTTTATGTATCATTATTCTTCTTCAGAATTAGTTTCTGACTCCAAGATGTATGGTTAAAATATTACAACTTGCCATTGTGGAGTGTAGAGTAGTTTTGCAGTGTTTGAGTAGAGTCAGAGGTGAGCTGGTGTGCTGAGCTGCAGTGAGTGGGGACGGATGGGTGGAGAGAGAGGAAACCCATGCATTTAACAAGAAGGAAGTGAATTAAGGAGGTAGGAAATACACTGAGAGGAATTTTTAGATGTTTAATCAGTGACTGAAAAGAGCCAGTAATCATCAAGTTATGTCAAAATGGCCCAAATAATTATTCAATCTATTTATCAATCTAATAGCGGCTTTAAATACTCATTTTAAACTAGCATTAGATTATATTTAAGTCCTGGTTTCATAAAAATGGAAAAACAGGTTTTAAATGTAAGTCCAGGTTCGTGCGTCACTATTTATTCAAAGTCCAAAAACATGTTAGAATTGAGATTCCACTTTAAATCTTTCACATGTGCAGAACTAAGAGCGTGCATGTGCGTGCACCAGGCAACCTGTGCACATCGCTTTTATGCCTTTTTATGGAGGGAGACGTGGACGGAGAGGCAAAGAGAGAAAGAGCAGAAAGAAGAACCAGAGACAAAGTAGAGAAGTCATGGTTTACTCAAAAAGCAACGTCTGACAGTTTTATTGGCCGTGATTGCTTAACAGCTACATTTTTTTTCCTCTTCCATGGTTAGGGTGCTGATGTTGATAGAACAATGATGTAAAATAAAAATGGTCGGAAAGTACCGCGGCTGTTATCGCAGCAGAGGGATCAGTGGATGGATGTGGTTCTTGCGGAGTGATCGCCTCTAAAGTTGGACATCATATCAACACATGTTCTGGCAAAATAGCGCGAGTATGAAAACAGTGTAGGTTTTTTTTTTTTTTTTTACTGGGACGCTGACACACTGGAATTTGTAATGCTAGCATGTGAAGCGTACGCTGAGCTTACACAGAGCTGCCGTCTCGCTTACAACACTTCGCTCACATGCGCGCACGAAGCCTCGGAGAGGAAACAGTGGTCGGCTAATTCAATCCCGGTTGTTTATGGGGCGCCAGAATGTTGACATTGTGGAGTCTATTTTTAGACCCACTTACCCTTAATGCTTTAAAAGGGACGCTAAGTGATGAAAATCATTCCAAAATAAGATCTACAACGTTTAAAAATAACTGTTCCTGAATGATTGATACCATGTTTTAAACAAGCTCTAGGCCTCAGGGGTTGCCTTTTTTTGTGGCGCATGTATTCACAACCAAAATGTTGCAGACTGAACTCCTAACACACAGAGTTGGTTTAAAAGTGAAGGAAAGGAGAAAATATGTGTCTGCTTGCTTGAGCATCAAGAGTGATAATCAAGCAACCCAATAAAAGGTGACGTCAGCTTTAAAAGCTGCAAGGCTGCCTAAAAACTGATGATACACAACTGTGGGAACAAGTCAAATCCCAGTTTTCTTTTGTGTACCAGAAGAGAATTCACATTTTTCTGCTTTCTACTGTAAATCGTTCATGAATTCTAGTTGGCTTGTGCAGAGCGAAAAATAAATAAAAAATCTGAATCGCTGTTATGAGCCCTAGTAAAAGAATGCGAAGCGAAGAAAAAGCGCATTGCGTCAGTGTTTATTAAGGTTGATTTGTGTTTATGCACCATCGCTAAACTACGTCTGAGGACTTGTTACTCAGAGAAGAAACAGAGAAACACTTTGACAAAGTTTACCCAGTTACTTCTTGCTTTCCTAGAATCCCTGTGCGTGTTGTGTTTGGTTTCTGTATTGCTATGTTAGCACCATGGCTCTATATGGCGATGTTGATGGTTCAGGTGGTCTGCCAGTGTGGTCCAGATATCTCAACAAGAGAATACCATGAAAATTTGCGCAAGATTCATGGTCCACAGAAGATGAAAACCCACATAGATCACATACCCTCTGGGTAGAATGTCAACAACTTGAGAAGGTTTCGGCAAAAATCTGTGTTTGTTTTAAACATGTTTACGATGATTAACACACAGGTTATGGAATAGTCACGGTGAAAAGAAATGCTGACTCTTATTTGGAAATGAGACACAAACATGAAGGGCAGAATTTTGTTGACCCATCCATCCACCCCGACCTCCTGGGAGTCATTGTTTACTCTGTGGCTTGCTAACTACATCACCATGCTTCCTCCTTTGCCCCGTCACAGACCACTGTCACGCTGAAACGTCACCATGGGTCATAATGAGCCTCTTGCGCAAACAGCCAATGTTTTGTTTTTTTTATAATGATCTCGAAATAACCCAACATCTGCAGAATGGAATGACACAAAAGTTAATGTTGCAGATGAACAAAATCCCCATCGCTTTTGCTTTTGCACCACTGTCAGGTCACAATTTCTATTTGTACTTGCAAAACTAATGACATTCCCAACCGCCTCAGCTGTTGTTTGCAGTGCTAATTAGAAAATGTGATCATACTAACATACTGAACTATAATGGCGCCTAAAAATAGCGTCATAGAGCATTGCTATGGACTCCTGGTTTA